TCAGATGACAGAAATTGTATCTTAATTATCAGCTTTATATTGATTTGGGTTCTCTAGACAGTGCATTATGTAGGTATTTTTGATTAAAACTTTTCTTAATCAAGTTTTAATTAAGCCAAATTGGTTTTAACGTTGATTTTTCACTATCGTCGCCAACACGGTAGCCCTGTGCAGCATTTGATAGCAGTTGTTGCTACAACTAGTCATTTGCGTGCATTGATCATGACAATTGCTACTTGAATTTCTGTCATATGTGAAACTTTCTCTTTGGAAAATGGGTGATAGCAACAGCACTAGACCGGTGTCTTTTGCTAACCCTACTTGTACGGTTCTCATTAGCTGGCTAATGGCCAAAGGAAAGAAGAGTGAGGGAAGTTGTCTTATGCTTTTCTCAAGCAGAAGGAAAGATCGATGTAAAAATAACCATGATTCCTAAGATGTGGCAAACAAACTCTAGGAAGTGATTCAATCGTTACGACATATCATCAAATTTGAAATTAATGAAAAATACAAAAAAAAGAAATACATTGAAGTTTAAATATTCATTTAAATGTCTACTCATTTATAAGTTGAAGATGCATAAAATCCAACTACCCTTATATGTCTCATCAAAATCGTCATGTTGACCCCTTAATAGCTCCTAAACAAAGCCATTTTGTTTCCAGTGAGCCATGGCAATGCCGTTTGTAGACTGCATTCCTTAAAACAGGACAGGACAACCCGTGCCAACACAGAAAAACGACATTTGTTTGTTTGTTTCTTTGTTTGCTCTCTTACTTTGCTTTGCCTGTTAGCCTTAAGTCAAGTTTGTAGATCGACAGCAACCTACCGTTGTTATCTAACACCGAATAGCAGCATCGGCATGTGCCACGCCGCAAGGTCCTCACGCCAAGTGTCGTGCAAACAACGGCACAAATGGAACGTGTGTGCGGCGTTGCATGGCAACCCTTCTCTTATTTACAGGTGTCATGACGACCAAGCCTCGCATATGACCGGTACCTAACCGCCATGTGCGCAGTGCACAAAATGACAACTCCGTTGGCCACCACAGTCCAAAAGCCCCACCCTTTGATATGGAAATAGACCTTTTATTTTATTTGGCTTATAGATTCAGTTGGAAAAGGATAAAATAGTTGAAATATAATGGTTCCAATAGTATGGAGCAATTTGTTGATTGGGAAAAAGCTCATATGGCACGGTATGATAAGGAGCAAACTTGGGATAATTTCTAAGAAATTCCTTTAGTTCGGTGATAAATGATAATTGTTGAATTTTCACGTTTTCACATGATTGGATGGACGGGAAAATCTTTATCAGTTAGGAAACTGATTAAACAGATAATAGTACGTAAAAGAGGGAGTTGGTCTCCACTTTATTGGACCGTTCTTCATCTTAATTAATAATTAATTACTGCAATAACCTTATTAATTTATAGATAGCCCACTATCTACCCTTATAGGTTAAGTTTTTATTGCATTTTTTCCATATATATCTTATTGCTTTTGTTTATATATATATATATACACACAAAAGAGAGTAGTTTGGGAATAAAAAATGAAATTATAAGTATTGAGATTTTTAAATACTAAATCTATTAAATATTATTTTTTAAGAGTGATTATATAAATTAATTGAACTAAATATCGGATTCTTATAATTTTTGGTTTTGCTATCTAAATATCGTTCATTAGATGCTAATTAAGCTAGTGGGAGTGGGTATAAAAGAAACATGATCAAAATCTTAAAAAATAAGGTGCAATTTTTTGCTTTTAGTATTAAAAATTGAAACATTTTTCTTTGCTAAGTAATTTTGTTATCCTTTTGAGTTCAACAAGATTGAAATACTCAATATTCAATTGGGTAAATTTGCAAGCAATATGCAATTTTAAGCACAAATTCTAATTGTACTCATTGGAAATATGCCATTAAGCAAAAAAAAAAACTTTAGTACTCATTAGCTTAGTTAGTTTATAATATTTTTACGATGCAAAAGTCAATAGGTCTAAAATTTAAAATTCGACACTTGAAATTTTTTCTTCTATTTTTAAATTGCAATATTATATATATATATATAAAGTTGATTCAATTATTATTATTATTATTATTTTTTGAGTAGAGTATCAGCATTGTTGACTAGAAGAAAATTTTGGTAATAGAGTTGAAGTCTATGAGAGTTGAGCTTTTGTTGTTCAACTTAATTAAATTTTACTTTTACTATTGAGCAAAAGTTTTTAGTTTTACTAATAACCCAAGTTAGAGAATTATATATAGGTAGAGGTTGGTCAACTCATACTTCATGCAAGTGCCACCATGTAGATTAAACAATGAATTAAACACAATCTTTCATACACTCTCACAAGCCGCCATGTAGATTCATTGTATTAAGAGAACCCTTTTTTTATTTTTTATTTTTTTTATTTTGTATCTTTGTCTTAAACCACTAATAATTTAAAATTCAGCCATTTTTGTCTGCCTCTTAAGCCAAAAAAAAAAAAGGAAATTAATACCCAGTTGTACATAGTTTGAGTGTGCTACTTTGAGATTAACAGTTGGATTAAGGAATAATGACATGATTAGTATAGAATGTGACATCATTATTTATGGATCTAATGGCTAATGATATGGGGGTATGGTGGTTTTGTCCTACAAAGATGTATTTTATTATCACTGCTTCAAAAATCAAGATAGAAATATACTATTAGATGACATGTGAAAGAGTGCTGCAACCGCTTGTCGGGGATAAAGAAAGAACTATTTGTTTTTTGGTTTTTTTTTTTTTTTTAATATAATTCCTCATCCATGTTCATTGGCTCTGTCAGAAAGGTTTTATCAGGTTGGATTTTATAATTAAATATAAGAGAATGAATACAAAATTTAGGATTTTGTATTGCATGAATTTTTGTTGTGACAATGGATTTGTGTCGTGTTGCAATGCAACAAAAATTTAATAGGTTACTCTCGACGCTAGAAAAGATTTACGATTAATTTTAACTTATAAGTAGGGATGAAAAAAAAAAAAAGAGAAATTCAAAAATTAATTTAAAATTATAATGATTGGTTCATTTCGGATCAATTTTTTTATTAAATTTATATCAAGTTCAAATATTAATATATATTAGGTTAAGATTAAATTTTGAATTTAAAAATAAAAAATTAAAATAAAATAAAATAAAATAATATATATTTAATTTTATATATATTTTAAATTTTTGTAAAATAAAAATAATAATTTTATATCAAAATCTATTTAAATATATAAAAATAATATATAAAATTTAAAAAATTAAAAAATAAAAATCGATGAATGGAACCAAACCGATAAATTCAATTTGATTTGATTTAAATTGATTAAAAATTTAATTCAAATTTTAAATTTTATAATATTATATAATATTTAAAAAAATCAAATTAAATTCGATGAAATTAAACTATTATCATATTTACTTTTAAATTTATTGAGCGTGTTAAAATTTTTGGTTTAATATAATTTTTATTTAAAATATATTTTAAATTTTTATTTTTTTTAAAGAAAAAAATTTATCAATTAATCCCAAATTCAATTATTTTTTAGGATTGAAAATTTTTGACACCATAGTTAATAATACTTTTCTTTCAAAGGCAAAATTAAGAGTGTAATCGAGTCCAGTGATACAATGAGAAGCTTGAACTCGAGCTCGATTTTCAACTCGAAATTTGATATTCGGTTCGAATTTGATCGAGTTTATTTTTTTAGTTCGAGTTCGATTCGTTATTAAAATCGAATTACTCGAACTCGTTTGATTAAATTTAATTAATATGTTAAAATAAATTAAATTTTTATATTCAATAATAGTTTGATTATTTGTGCTCGAACTCGAATTCGAGATATTTTATTAATTAAAATAATAAAAAAATTTAAATATAAAAATTTGATTAGGCTCATGAACTATTCAAATTGGATATAAGAATATTCGAACTCGATTCGATCAATAAGTCGAGCTATTGAGCTCAACTCGATAATAATCTAGTCGAATTTAAATTTTATTCAAATTAAACTCGAATAATTTATGAGTACTAATATATTATTTATACCTCTAAATAAAAATTAGTAAATTAAAAAAATATTAAAACATAGAAAACAGGCTTTTATTCCCGTATAAAATGCCATTGAGAAGGAAAATCTTAATGGGGTTTTAGTCATCGACCTCGAGAGATAGCTAGACAATGATAAAGATTAAAAAAAAAAAAGAAGGTATTACAGTAGTAAACTACACGGAACGTGAGGGAAGGGAGGGAATTTTATTTTGAGAAAGAGACAAGAATCCAGTTGGAAGAATTTAATGGAAAAAAATGGGAATCTCTCCGAGGTCCTTTATTTTATTTATTTATTTTAATTGGAAAGTTTAGAGCTTTCCTTAATTTTTTTCATTTCCTTTCATGTGGACTTGTTCCTGACATCGTGTGCGTGCGAGAGAGAGAAATAGAGAAGCCATCTCTTTCTCTTGTCTTTATTTGCCTTTGATTGCTCTATAAAATATAAAGACCGACCTTGGTGTTGTTAACTCCCTCTCTCAGCATCGTTGTTTTTTCCTTTGCATTCATTGATTTTTCCCTTCTAGGACTCACAGAAAATGGAAGAGTTGGGTTCCTTGTGGAATTATTCAGAGGTGGGTTTTTTTTTCTCATTACTGTTTTGCCTCACTGGTCTTCTTTCTTGTTCACCTTTTCTGGGTCTTCATTAGTTTTGGCACATCAAGTTCATTTCTTTCTGTCCTTTTCCGCCTTCTTTTGCTATATTGATGTTCATTTTATCAGTTTTTGTTTCATTCGAAGTTGTCATGTTGGTTTCCTTCATTCATATTTCAGTTCTTTTATCTCAAAGTTGATGGTTTTCATGTTAGGTCTGTGCCTTTCTTTTTCTATTCTCTCCTCTGTTTTATCGATATCCAATGATCCAATGCAAACTCGGTTCTGCTTCGAATGAAATACTAACTTCCAGTTGTGAAACCTGAATTCGTCTTTTCTTGTTTATAAGAAAACATTATCACAATCAAATTTTCTTTTACAAAGCGCGATTGTTGTATATGCTGCATCATTTTTTTCTTGTTGGCGGTGAAAATGGATACTTGATTGCATAAATTTCCTATTGAAGATATTTACAGCACATGGTAAGTACTATGCAGTGCATTTTTTTGGTAAAAATGTGCATTTGTTCTGTCCTGATATGACCAAAACATTGATTGAAATTTTGGGTTACTAGTTGTAGGTTTTCGTGGAAACTAGTGATATTTCATGGCATTAGGAAAATGGGGTCCCATACTCCCACACTCCAACGTCTTTTCATGGCGATTTTTTTTTGGGTTTCATAGCTTTTGAAGGGTTTTTAATGGTTCATTTTTTCAAAATAAGTCCTGGTTTGACTGAGAGCCCTTGGGATCCACATGGGCCAAGTAGTGATTACACTGTTTCTCCTAACTTGAACTGGTTGTTGATCCACTGGATTTATTTGTTTTATGTTTTGTCTCATGTTAAATATCTATGACTTTTGGTCTAGATGTCCCCACTGAAGTTACAGTGTTTGGTTTAGTACATACAATTTAGCAGAAACGAACAATAATGATTCAGTTTAATTCTATCTTTATCATTTGTTTTTTCTCTTTGATGTTTTTGTCTTCAAACGATTTTCATGAGTGAAGATATAGATTGATTCATGCCTTTAAGTAACAGACGTTTTTCATTTTCCTCTATGCATTTTGAAGTCTGAAACTAACCCTTCTTTTCTGAATGAACAGAATTTTGATGAACCGAAATTGAAGCTTCAATACGTTACAATTGAGCTAGAGTCCGTCAAAATGGAAGCAAATGAGCAAATAAGGAAATACAGTGAGGTGGAGAAGCATTTGCTCAATCTTCTAAAGCTTGCCTACCAGGAAAGAGATGAAGCAAGAGATCAATTGCACAAGCTACTTAACAAGTTAATGCCTTGTAGTCCGACTGAACTGGAACCAATCCTCCCTGATCCCCAATCTGAAAGTCTCCTTATGATTGCTGCAGCAAAAGCAAACTCAAGCATTACTGAATCTAACAGTTTATCAGATACATATAATCACCAGTCACATGGCTCTTCCCCAGTAGATTCCTTCTTTGATGCAGTCACTTCACCAGATTTTTCAAGCATTAACATGGCTGGTTCAGGCAGCGTGGGATTTGTGAATCAGCCCTATGTTCAAGAGTATAACGGTTCCGTGTCAACTGGATTGGTCTCTTCAAGGGTGACCAAGATTGATCCTGCTACAACTGTGATTGATAATCTTGCAAAGGGGAAAACTTTGCCTGAAAAAGGAAAGCTTTTGCAAACTGTTATGGAAGCAGGCCCTCTTCTTCAGACACTTCTTGTTGCTGGGCCTCTTCCTCGATGGAGAAATCCTCCTCCTTCACAAACTTTCAAAATCCCCCCTGTTTCCATCGAAAGTTGTGATTCTAAAAGTGCTAACCAAAAACCAGCTGCCAATCCAACCAGAACTATTGTTCAAAAACGATTGAACTCATCACCATACCCTGAAATGTATCATGGGTCTCGTCAAATGTGTTCATCAGCTATGTTGAATTTTGCAAGTTCTGCTTCTGCTTCAGGGTTGAGCAATTCACAGCTGTTGACTACAGCTGCCACTGTTGTTAACACTCAAATCACAGCTGGAAAGCGCCAAAGGTTTCAATGAGTTAAAAAAACAAGCTTTGCTTCATTTTTGTAAAGATTAAACGTGAGGGTGTGATGATGTAAACTGGATAGGCATTTTTCTGGGGCTTATGAATGATATATCATAGATGTGCAACACAATTATGAAAAATCATGACAGGATTTTTTCCCCCTTCCACATATACCTCTTATATTAATTTTCTTTTGAATAAAAAAAATTGAATTTGTTTTCTTGCCTTGCATCTTTATTATGAACAATATAGGCTTAGTCTTTCCTGAAAACCAGGCTGCAGATGCCATTAGCACGATGCTAGAGAATGCTAGTGCCTAATGCCATTGGAAGAAACCTGTTAGTGATTGAGTGGGCTTAAATACTCAACTGAACAAAAATGGAAGAACTATGATGGAAAATATATCAAGGGAAAATGGAGTCCTGCTTGACTACAAGATGTTCATGAGTTACTAAAGGCCACAAAATGAAGCCAAGACAGACTTGGAGAATAAGGTAATGAGAAATTCACAATTGAGTCTCATTGAAGAAGAAACTAATAGTCACTGAAAGACTGAAAATGAAAGGGTTGGAATGGAAGGTGATTTGATACAGCACCTTGTCTCTGGATGGTGGCGGAAGCCTTTACTTCCACTATTAACCCTTTCAGACTTCAATTGCAGGAAATAAGGGCAACTTTCCACCTTGCTCATCTAGTCCCATCTAAACTCGGAAGAAGCATATTCAAAGAGGCAACGTTCCAAAATTGCCGAGATAACGTCATAATGCCATATATGAGTATATTTCATTAAATTCTTTTCAGAAGAGTAACCAAAACAATGGAAAGATTTGTAACTCTGGAAATTAGATATTGGTCGAGTATCCTTCGTGATTGGTTTGCTAATGGACTATAATCCATTACAATTTGCAGTCAAACTCAGATGAGTAACATGTCCATTTATGAGTTTGTGGCTGTAATTATGGCTATTCAAAGAAAAAAAAATCAATTTCCCAACAATAAAACTAAAATAGAGGTATGGTGACAAGAGCATGTCCATCATGGTGGGTTTTTCTTTTTCCCATTTCTTCTTTCCTTACTGAAGCCTAGCAACTTCATTACTTGAAAGAAATCAGACTTGGGTATTTTCTTGTTAGAAAATTAAGAAAAATCTCTAAAGGTGCATGTGTGTTGCAGAATGGAAGAATAAGCCGATATTTGGTAGCCAACGGTAGAAGTTATCCTTGATTTTGTCTCCAATCTTAAATGTCAGTATCTATCTAGCTGCCGCACTATATGGCGGCCCATGGAATGAGGTATCTTTATATTATCACCAATGCCTAGATGTCTTTACTTGCTCCACCTTGGATTTAACCGTTTTCCATTTCTGCATACCACCGGGGCTGACATTTCTAGGGGCTTTCTCAAGCAGGTTTCCAGGATTAGCCTCAATAAAGTCATCAAGTTAGCATCATTCAAAGCCCCTTTGGCTGTTTTCCATTTTCCCATTCATCTAATTATATATTGATCATAGCATGCCTTCAGGTCCTTCTCCAGCTCCAGCTTCATCTGCACAACCTCCCCCGTGGAGTCCGTTGTTAATTGCCACAGTTGCTGTTATTTGCATTCTCTGCCTGGTATACATCTACAACAGGGTACTAAAACGACTCTGCTGTGCATTTAATGCTGCAATATTCTCTAGAAACCAGGTTCGAAGACGACTTCTAGATGACAGCAACTTTATTAATCCTTCTTCACAAAACCAGAGCAATGCACTGGAATCGACTGTTGTACACTCTTCCAATCTCCCAATTCAAGAAGGAAAATAAAGAACCACCCCGGCTGAGCAACACTGATTGTGCAGTTTGCTTGGGCGAGTTTGAAGAAGGAGAATGGCTAAGACATCTACCAAATTGCACACATGCCTTCCACAGTTCTTGCATTGACACTTGGTTTCAGTCACTCAAGCTGCCCGCTTTGCAGGTCAAGTGTTTCTGGTCTAACAACAAGGCACGAGTGTTCTGTGTCTATGTTAACAACATCGGAGATCTTAAGGGGAGAAGATCTTTTGCAAGACAGGGCAGCGCATTACCAAATGCTACGCTCTGAGGTCCTACGAAATTCAGAACTTAGATATGAACCAACAGGTCGTCAATAATAATTATGAGTAGACAAAACATATGGAAGATGGTGTCTAGCTTTGCTGGTAAAGAACATTAGGGGTGTACCAAGGATTTAGAATTCGAATATTCAAGAAAGAAAAGAAATGATAGTTGACATGGAATCAAGAAATCTCTCCCCAGGGGTCAATTTAAGCTGGCCAAAGACGCAATGGATCAACCTGTGGAGATGAACAGACAGCAAAAATTTGCCAAACCTTAGAGCCTCAGGGTCGCAGTCGTTACCAAGAATTATGGACCTTCTAAGTTCCAGGTAATTGAACTCTCTTGGTTAATGAGATAGTTATAGTTCACGGTGGTCATGATTAAAAACAAAACTTGCACCAGCCGGGAATCGAACCCGGGTCTGTACCGTGGCAGGGTACTATTCTACCACTAGACCACTGGTGCAGCTGAATGACACTTTAGTGCACCTTGCATAAAAAACCTAATAGATATATGTACAAAAGCAAAGACAAATTAATAACCCTTTTCATCTGTGTCCACCGTTTATTGTCCACCATTCAAGTTCCTGCTAATGCAAATTATTTTCCCATAGAAATTAAAAACAGCGCCCTTCACATCAAAGACACTAGTTCTCTATCAGGGAGAAGGTTGCCACCAAAATACCATGCAAACATTTGTCGACCATCAAATTATCATCGGCAGACAAAATGAAATGACCTTCTAACTATCCAGAAAAGACCTAATAATATATGTATCATATCATCATAACCAAAATTTTCATACTGAAATTAAGCAACTTTTCACAGGTTTATGGTCTAAATGTTTTCTTCTGTGTCGTTGCAACGCTAACACCTTCACCGTGACTACCAATCAAACCAGAATACAGATGAAACAGTGATTGATGCTCCAGGACCGCGTAGGATCATATCCTATTGCACAGGTAGGAGAATAAATTTCAAAACAAGTATAAAGGGGCGCATTCATCACCAGCTCTCAAAGAGATCTATTTAGAAGTAATCATGCGATAGCTAACATTCAAGCACTGAACCATTTTAAACAAATATCAAAACATGTAAATCAAAGTTACCTTCTGTTCTAAGTTAAACAACAGAAGATTAACTGGCAATAACAAAAGATTACAAACTTTAAAAGCTAAAATTAAATCTTCCAGATAAAAGTCTCAAACTAACTTATCTTACTCTTGCAACAAAACCAAAAAAAAAAAAAGAAAGCTCAAAACAAGGAAGCCACCAACTAGCTCAGATAATTCCAATTTTGTTTGCCACATCCAAGGCGTCGTAATCAGTTGTCAACCTAACATATGCCTTCTTTGTACCATCAGGCCTGAATCATGAGGAAACATAAACATCAAGATTATTGTCCGCATAATATTGTAAGCACAAATAAAGGGTAGTAAAGAGGAGTATAAAGAGATGAATCGACTGGGTCATCAAGAAAACCAATTGAAGAATACAATCATTAGCAACCATATATACTGCTGTAAAAAATTCAAAACATTATTGTTCTGATAAAAGTGAGACATAACATATGGTCTCAAGACAAGTTGACGATGAATAAACAATTAGAAATCCAATAACATGCCCAACTAATAAATCAGTCTTTGGAAGTTATTCACATGTAGCTTTGTCATAACGAATGAATTATAAAATGAATGTCAAATAACCTACTGATTATATCAAACTGTAGAACATCCTAAGCTATAAAATAAATTCTAATGGGGAATATAATATCTCAAGGACATAAAAATAGTTAACAAGCAGAAATAAAATTTTACCTGATCAATGTGTTCACTTTCTTGGCCTGAATATCATACATCTTCTTGACAGCGTCCTTTATCTTCTTCTTGTCTGCACGAATGTCAACAATGAAAACCAAAGTGTTGTTGTCTTCAATCTTCTTCATTGCTGACTCAGTTGTGAGGGGAAACTTGAGAATCTGATAATGATCAAGCTTGTTCCTTGGTGGAGCACTAATGCGTGGATACTTAGGGCTCCTATCCTTCTTCAAGGTCTTTGGCCTGTGGAATGTAACTTTTGTTCGGATCTTCTTTGCCTTCTTCTTAAAAGTGGCTCCAGATTTTACTGCTTTTGCAGCCTTCAAGGCCTGTGCCTTTGGGTCAGCCTTCTTCTCAACTGCATAATATACAACAATCAATCAATATAATTAATTAAAAGAAGCTACAAATACCATTATCAAAATAGGTTACATTATGGCAGAAATTTAAGCCATACAACTCCAATAACATTGCAAAAACCACTTCCTACAGAAATCACTTAAATAAGTCCCAATTAATCACATCTAATGACATATTCTAAGAGGCAGCAGTTACACGTCCAACCTGACAACATTCATAAAAGAGTTGAGCAGACTATTAATTTAAACAATAAACCAAAATAACCCAAACATACAATCCTACAAACTATATATATAACAAAACTAAGCTAAGAATATACAGTTAGCTCAGGAGAAATCACCAAGTTTATATCACTTCCAATGAAACTAGTCATCAAATGGGGATCAATCCAGCATCCAATTTTCCAAAGCTATAAAATGAAAAGCCACGTAAAAGAACACAAGTTATATGGTAATTGTCCATCTCCCAATAAATCCAAAACCAGACAAGAGATAAGCAGAAGTAATCAAAAAAAGACTTGACAGTAGCAGAAAATATATAAAGAGCAATACAAGTACAACAATCTCTAAACAGCACAAAGATAAAGCGAAACAGTAAAGAAGAAAATCCATAATCTCAATGCATATATCAACAACCAAACAGAGAATAAATAAACAAATCATAACTTGAACAAGCATTACAAATTAGAAAAAGTAGTGAAAGAAAAGTAGTTTATAATCAGTAAACACTAAATCCAAATCCAAATACCTTTCGGAGCCATTGGTTGCTGCTACCTCAAACCCTTCAAAACCCTAAACCAAAACAACAATTATAAAGAATCAACTTAAAATCTTTCTAAAAACCGAAATTACTTCGAAAAACAAAAGAGGGAAATGAAAGGGACGAAGAAAGGATGGGAGACCTGTTGATGGAGAAGCGGATGAGTCGCTGTTAGGTTTTGCAGGGAAGAGGGGAAAAGGAAGTTAGGGTTTTCGAAATTACTCTAATGTCCAATGGGCTCCTAAAAACGACCCCACTTAACCAAAAAAAGCCTAAAATTAACGGGCCTGGGTCCTTTTATATGGGTCAGGTTAGGTACTGGCCCATTTTGATTATGAATTTTTTTTCATTTATTCTCTCATTTCTCTTTACCAATAAAAAATTTAATTATTTTATTTAAGGAAACAAAAATTTATTTTGGATTAAAATAATTAATATTTCTATTTTTAATTTTTATTACTAAAATTAATTAGAGATAATTAAGATTTTATAACTTTATCTTATTATAATCGTATGATCTGTTGTAAAATATTAAATTCTTAATTCTAATAATTAAATTAAAAGAAAAACTAATAACTTCTTTTTTTTATCAAGTCCTTAACTTTTGTGAAGAGCATGAAAGGATTAATTATAATTTTATAAAAAATATAAAAAAAATTTTCTTAATATTTCCTATAGATAAATGGCATACAAAAACATTTTGATATTTGATTTTTTTTTCTTTTATACTTCCAAGTCACTTTAGTTTTGTTTATTTATTACGAAAATCTAAAAATTGGGCACTTTTTAAAAAGAATTTCATATTTAAATTCCATTAATTCTTGAAGCAATAATCTAATTTGGTTGGTTTTTCAAGCTTTTAGCTACTTACTATATGCTGCATTTGACATGCTGAATATGATAAACAAAACTTTATTATTCAATTGTTATCAATCACCAACACTGGTCAAATTATTAAGCATAAGAAAAAAATTGCTCTATCAATTGGCTTTGAAAATTTTCTTCTATAATCGTGTGTTTGAAGTGAATCTCTTGGACTTATCGTTCTGTCTTCGACTCCCCATCTGATGATTCTTTCTTATTTACCGTTGGTTTGATGAATCCAGTCAATGGTCCCTGGAGATCAGAATCATAAATGGGACCCATCTTGGTACGTTTTGTTTCCAAAGTATTTCTTGTTTTCCCCTGTAATGGGTGTCAATACGGGAACTCTCCCAATAACAGTCAAGCCATAGCCCTTCAGACCAGTGAACTTGGCTGGGTTGTTAGTCATCAGGCGCATGGTCTGAACGCCTATGTCTCTCAGCATCTGCTGCCATCAAAGTTGAAGAAGTTAAACATTGTTGTTTACGAGTTATAAATGAAGTCAAATAGGATGAACTATGAAGCACCAATGGGAACATTCCAGAAAGGAATGATGCAGAGAACTGACCTGGGCACCAGTTCCATATTCACGAGCATCAACAGCTAAACCAAGTTCAATGTTGGCTTGAACTCTTACAAGAAGATCTTGTCCATTCCCTGTGTCTCCCTATTTGAGGTTTGGAAAAGAGAAATCAGCTTGGCATATGTTTTGGACAGTTTAAAGTTAATAAAAAAACAACTGAATTTTCTCTTACAAAGAGCAGTTTGCCTTAACAACTGCTACATGTTCTGTTCCATCTAGCTTCGAGCCATAGCAGTAAGCCTGAAATAGACCCCATTTTGTAGGCAGACGCGAAATAGCAGTTCTTTCAACTAATTTTTCCCTCTTTCTCCGGTACCTTTTCAAATAACAGGCCACATTTAGTGCAACTAATCCTTGAGAATACAATATATCGAGACAACAGGCATAAAATTTCCATAGCTCGCCTGATTAGATCAGTTATTGAGACAACTGGCATGCTGTGCTCCGAAGCCATGTTTCTTATAAATTGCAAAGATGCTATAGAACCGTCCTCTGGATCAACGACAGTTCAAAGAACAGAAACTGGCTGCAAATCAGTGAGCATGATCAAATCTACGGAAGTCTCAGTATGACCAGCTCTTCTTAAAACCCCACCATTCCTATACTTTAGAGGAAATACATGGCCTGGCGGCCTGGCCTTCTGAAGTCATCAGGCTTTGATTCTGGAGAAGACACAGCAAGAACAGTTTTTGACCTATCTGAAGCTGAAACTCCTGTTGATGTGCCGGTTTTTGCATCCTAAGTAAACAATTTGAGTTAAACTATTGCAACAAGCTTCAAATTGCAATGCATAACTCTTGCTCTACAGAGAAAATATACCACTTTGATTGTGAAAGTTGGGGCAGAAGAATCTTCATCTTCACTTTCTGGTGACATTAGAGGAAGCTTCAACCTTTCAAGATCCTCCTCTTTCATACCTACAAAACCAATGCCTAAACCATGCTTAACCATAAAAGCCATCTGCTCAGGAGTTACATGAGAAGCTGCCATGATGAGGTTTCCTTCAACATCCTCATTTTCATCATCTACAACAATCAAAAACTAAGAAAATAATGCAATGATTGTCAACACTATTCTGTTATAAAATAATGCAATGATTGCAGTGCTTCCTAACCTTTCCTTGGCTTATTGTATTCAGTGACTGCACAATGGAAGCGAATCCTTTAGAAGGGCAGTCAGGGTCACCCTCAGCATCACTAACAAAGAAATCAATGGTTTCAGGGGTAATATCAGCATTCAGTGTCCCAAATGGTGCTGAAGCTGACTCGTCAAGTGCACCCAACAAGGATCCATTTTCAGCCCCCTTCAAGGAGCTGTCATCAAACAGGTTTCCAGCTCCAATCTCAGATACCCCAACAGCGCAGCAACTAGAATTCAACTATCTTTTTCTGTATAGCCTGATTTCTACTCCTCGACCAACAGCAAAACATCTAGGAAATCTGTAACAGCACCATTTTTCCCACACAAAATTCAATATGGACACAAGAAAATAGATCATTGTTCACATGTACCATGTATCAATGATATATATATATATATTTATATATAGTTGTCAGCTGCTTGGTCTAGTGATCAAGATAACTTTAAAGAAGATATCAAAGTTGGAATTCAAACCCCAACCTTCTCTCTCCCCTCTTAATGTAAGGTTCTACCTCCTTTAAATGATCAAAATAAATAAATATATATATGTCTTGTGTTTTATGAAGATAAGAGGAAAAAAATGGTGAGGAAATAAAGCACATTCCATGGAATGAATGCTGCAAGAACTGTCTTTTTCTTACCCCATCCAAACAAAGTGAAGAGCCATAACAATGTTTTAATCTCCTCAGCTCAAAACAAGGGGATAGTCGATATTTTGCCTTTGAAACAAAGCTTGACAATGGTGGGTCCTGATGTCATATCCAAAAGAAATTAAATTTACCACTAACTTCTCTCGCTTCCGTTTTGCAACGATGTACTATTAAGATTTTACGATTTATACATCTGTATAGTATAAAAATATTAATATTTATATTATATTTTATATAAAAATTATGTATTATAATTTATATAAATATAAAAATATAAAATATATATTTTTAATTTTATTAAATTTATATATAATTATTATTAAAATTTTAAATTATATTATTTTTATGTCTTATTTATATATTATATTTAAATCATATTATTATCTCGCATTTTAAATTATCACGTTACATTTTACTTTTGCATTACAACCAAAAATTTCTTTTGTTGAACATAAAATGCAAAACACAAAGACAACTGCCTTACTTTCCCTTTTTCCCGACAAAGAAACACTGGCACTAGTTCTTAGATTAAACACTTTTAAGCCTGTCAAAAAGACATATCTTCTTTGCAATAAAAGTTTTAATTTTTATTATTAAAAAATTTCTTATTCAAAAACGCTCTTGAATTTTAGTAAAAAATAAAAATTAATTTTCTGATTTTTTAGTATGTATAAATAAAATTATAATTTGTTATTGATTTGTAATTATAATCATAAATTTATAAAATTAATGAAAAAAATTTAATTAAAATAATCAAAGACTAACATTTGTTATTTAGGATTACTAATAAACATATGATAAGCCATAATCAATTTTTTATAAAATAACTTAAAAGATGTTTTAATTGGATTTTTAATCAATTTTCAAAATTTATGATTATAATTAAAAGAAATAAAAAATTTTTTATTATAATTTAAAAGTATATTTGAATCGACAAATCGACTCGTTCTCCCCAATTTTTTATTCTGAATCTGAGCCAGAAAAAATATTATAAGATAATAAAACAGATGGCCACGTGTAACTCACGCGCTCACTCGCCTTCCATTAAAGCCCATTTTCCGGCAGCCGACGCGGCAAACCCTTTAAACCTTGGTACTCTCTACCAACGACCGTAGAGTTCGCAAAAAAGCCAAAAGCTTTTTCTCCGAAAAGAGACAGCAGCTGAAACTGGCCGTCTTAAAACGACACTAACTCCGATCTCCCCTAAGTTTAAAACGACAACTCTTTGTTTTCTCAGTCCCAAGTTTCCGCTTCTTTTAAATCCCCTCCCTTCTTTACTTCACGTGTCCCCGCGATTTTGCTTTGATCCCCTCTGCGATTTTCTCTTCCCTTTTATTTAATAAAATTTTATTAAATTAATTTTTTGATTTAATGTTGAATGGGCCATGGCCGAACCATTGCCAACGACGAATAGGGTGAAGGAGAACACAATATGGAAGGGAATTTTCGCTGTCTGTGGAATCATGATTACTCTTGTTATCTATGGACTTTTACAGGTTCGTTTCGTGTATTTCATGACATATGATATATCAGAACGATTCTTATGTAATTCATGACAAAACTGTAAGTTTAATTTCTTACTTTGATGAGTAAATCTGTGTTAGAATTGAAGAATTGAGGATTAGTTCCAATTGCAATTAGGTTTAGGGTTTATGGTTAAGGGGTGCCTAAAACATATACTAAGGAACGTAGACAATGGCAGTCATGCCATGAATATCTTACTTTATTAATTTTCAAGAAATATGATTATTTGTCGTTAGCAGCATGATCATCCTCCGAAGTAGACCTGGTGATTTGTATATTTATGTTGTGTAAAATACTGAAATTCGTGTATTCATATAGTGTTTTACACAAAAATTATGTGTCACGATAATGTTGACATGAAAACATAAAATAGATTTTTTTTTGTTTTGTTAAATCTATATATAGTTATTGCTAAAATTTTAAGCCGTGTCACCTTTGTATCCTATTTTCGTATTGTGTTCTTGTCGTGTTTTAGATTGTCATGTCTACTCCGAGGAGAATTGTGTGAATACCTTTTAAGATCTGTTCTTCACTCATGTTTAGTGCATATAGTTACGGTGTACAAAGGGGAAGGTGTTGATGGAAGTTTACTTTCATGCAGGAAAAGATCATGAGAGTCCCATATGGGGTAAACAAGGAATATTTTAAGTACTCATTATTTCTCGTTTTCTGCAACCGCATCACAACATCTGCGGTCTCTGCTGGTTCTTTACTGGTATGTAACTGTTATTAGCAAGTTGCTGCAAATGTATATGTTAATTTTGCATTCTTTTTATTTGCGAAGGGCCTCGAGGGGAAAGGAGAAATAGTTTTCTGGAGATATAAGAGTATCAGACTCTGCATTTCTGTTTTCGGCTAAAATGTTAAGAGTTGTGTGCCTTATGGCCTTATGAAACAGCCAAGAGATGAACCATCTCACACAAAAGATGGCAAGATTAGCTGACATATTTTCATACATCAGAATTTTCATTTGCTTTGTTTTTTATTTCCTAGGCAAGTAAGAAAGCATTGGATCCTGTTGCTCCAGTCTATAAGTACTGCCTCATATCAGTATCAAACATCCTCACCACAACATGTCAGTATGAGGTAAAGTGGGATGCTTATATCAGCATATAATACAATTATGCTGCTCTCCATAGAAATTCTAATCTTCTCAATATTTGTATTTGTACATACGTTTGCTGGATGAGAACCTTTAAAGGCAGTACTAGTATAATAATCTTAATGGCAACATATCTGTGGTCCAGGCCCTCAAGTATGTCAGTTTTCCAGTTCAGACTCTTGCTAAGTGTGCAAAAATGATACCTGTAATGGTAAGTTAGTTTTGCATGAATAATTATGAAGGGTATTTATATGATTTATCCAAATGGTTGTATAAGTTTTTGGACTCTTAAATTACATCCAATGGATGCTTAAAGCTAGTCCCCCTTTATTTCTTGTTGCTAGTTTTAAGTGCTGATGACTTTTCGTCTTTTTTTTTTCATACAGATTTGGGGCACTTTCATTATGCAGAAGACATACAAGGGTTTTGACTATTTGGTGGCTTTTCTGGTGACCCTAGGTTGTTCAATATTTATACTATTTCCGGTAAAATTCTGGTCTATGTTAACAACGATCATTGTGTTCATTATAAATAGACAATCGTTTAGCTTGCTCTATTTGATGGTTGCTGTCATACATGATGCGTTGCAATAGATGAAGGATTTTTTTATTTTTTTTTTCAGATTAGCTGCGTTAGATTGTTCTATAACTTTATCTTTTGTAAACTAATTCTGCTTTCACTGTAGGCTGGAACTGACATTAGTCCTTACAGCAAAAGAAGAGAAAATACTGTTTGGGGTGTTTCTCTGATGGTCGGTTATCTTGGGTATCAATCTGAAACTTATTTCCTCTCACCTTAAAAGATATTTGTTGTCCTTTCTATAATTGGATCTTCAAAATATAAAGTGATATATGTATCATGATAGGTCTAAACTCTCATTTGCTGATTTAGCAGTGACATTTGTTACATTGATTGCACTTGTAGTAGTGAAAAACTACTCTTTCATACCAAGGCTCCTTCAGGTTGAATTATTTTTTTAGTCTCAATTCAACTAGCATTGAAATTCTGAAGGCTTTTGGGAGAAAAGGTTTTCAATGCATTTATGCTCATTCCTCCATTTCACAGGTTTGATGGCTTTACAAGCACATTCCAAGATAAATTATTTAAAGGCTATGATATGGAAATACACAATCAAATATTCTACACAACATTATGTTCTTGTGTTCTGAGCTTGACAGGTAAAAGTCCTTCTACTTACTCTATCTTAGGAATGATCATCTGTTTTGCATTTACGTTTGATTTCTTTGCGTTGCATTTTACTGATTGGTAACTGGTTGTGATTGACTTTTTCTGTTTGGTTTAGGTCTTATATTACAGGGACATTTACTTCCAGCTATAGATTTTATTTATCGCCACAATGATTGTTTCCTTGATATTGCATTACTTTCCACTGTAAGTGATCTTTGCTTTCCTGCTCTAGTTTTACTAGGCTCTAGCTGACGGTAGGATCATCAGTTGTGTTATTTTCTTGTCCCTGACTTGTAGAATGAGACATAATGTGGAGCTCTAAATTTATAAGAGATTATCTTTTGTAGGTAGCAACAGCCAGTCAATTCTTCATTTCATACACGATTCGTACATTTGGCGCCCTCACATTTGCTGCCATAATGACCACAAGACAGGTATGGTCAAAGTTTCTACCAGAAAGTTTAATGTTTCATTTCCCCCTAATTCTATATTTCTGATAAGCGGTGATTCCTCCAACTTTATATGTCGTTTAAGCTGGTGAGCATCATGCTGTCATGCGTGTGGTTCAGCCATCCCCTTAGTTGGGAACAGTGGATTGGGGCGGTAAGTCTCAATTACATTTGTTCTACATTCTTGTTGCTTTCCAAAGCCAGATGATACATCTGATGCCTTGATCAGGTCATCGTGTTTGGCTCCTTGTATACAAAAACCTTATTGAAAAAAGCATCACCGAATCCCCCTCCTCCACGACAAACACAAAATGGAGCTTCCAGTCCTGTGAAAGAGATCCCTTAAGCTCCAGGTCCAATTTTGCACCAGTTGCGAAGTTTGCCTATGTCAAAGCTGCATTCCTTAGCTTGTCGGCAAGACTCAGGTCGAACGATTGTATGAAATCCAAGCTGCACCTTCATGGCTGATGGAATTGAAATTTTGGAAAAAAAAATTAAAATAATGACACTACATTCTTCTGGAGGGATATGAATTATAAACCACGCACCATCAACTAAAGCACAAAAATGCTTTTTGTCCACCCTGCACATGGATATGCAACTGCTCAGACAAATGATTGTTTGTAGGTCTTTCTATTCAAACACGAAATAGAGAAAGTGAAAAAATTATTAAAGTAGGTTGATTTGCTAATGTTGCATGTCATTGAATTCTCCTACTTTGCATTATTTTGGTACGTGCAAACCAAACTACAGATTTTATATTTTAATTTATATGATATTTTGCTAATTTTTGAATGTGAAATTAAAAAATTTTATTTTTTTGTCAAATAAAAATATAAAAGTCGAAACCCAAATAAAATCTCGGTCTTTTGGGCCGATATTTGCAAATCTGAGCTTAGCTCTTCAAGATTTAGGCATGAAAATTCCAAACCAAGCTCACCCAGTGGCGGCCCATTTACATCTCTAATCGCGGTCGCGGGCGAGCCTGTTGCTAGGTAACTCCGGTCACTCTGCTCGGTTCTCTCTGTTTGTTCGCTTGTTTTTTCTCTGAGCTCTTCATATTCTTTTCCCAGTTTCTCACAGTTTCTCGTAGGAATCAAACATTGTTTCTCTGCCATGTTATATTCTATATCGAAACATGTGAACCAAATACAACGAGTTCTAATAAACCATTTCGTAAAAATCCAGAGACATTCTAAACATTACAACAATTTTGGTGCTAAAAAACCAAACACCAAACCAAGCCATGAAAACACTAAGAAAACCACACAAAACCGACGCCAAAAAAGACCAACCCCTTTTGTTGCAGCTGTGAAAGAAATACGTGATCCAGATGAAGCGGCGTCTCTTTTCCATGAATATTACCAAATGGGATATAAACATGATTATCCTTCATTTTCTTCTCTTATTTATAAGCTTGCCAAGTCTCGAAATTTCGAAGCTGTTGAAAACCTTCTTGGCCATTTACAAAATCTTAATATTCCTTGCAAGGAAACTCTTTTTTGTGCTTTGTTCCAACATTATGGAAAAGCCCATTTGATTGAAAAGGCCATTGAACTTTTCCATAAAATTCCTTCTTTTAATTGCGTTCGCACGGTTCAATCTTTGAACTCGGTTCTTAATGTTCTCGTCGATAACAATAGGTTTTCTGATGCAAAAGAGATCTTTCATAAGTCAGCAGAAATGGGCTTTCGTCCGAATGAGGTAACATTCAATGTCATGATCAAGGGGTTTTTGAAAAGGGCTGAGTTTACGGAAGCTTGCAATTTGTTTGATGAAATGCTCGACAGAAACGTGGAACCTAGCGTAGTTACTTATAATAGTTTTATAGGGTTTTTGTGTAGAAAGGGTGACGTGGAAGAAGCTAAAAGTTTAGTTGAAGATATGGCTAAGAAAGGTAAGTATCCAACTGCTGTGACTTATGCTTTGTTAATGGAAGGTTTTTGTTCTTTAGGTGAATATAAGGAAGCTAAAAAACTGATGTTTGATATGGAATATAAAGGTTGTAAAACAAAGGTTATTAACTTTGGTGTTTTGATGAGTTATCTTGGAAAGGGAGGACAGATTGAGGAAGCTAAATCATTGCTTAGTGAAATGAAGAAAAGGCGGTTTAAGCCAGATGTTGTGATTTATAATATATTGTTGAATTATCTTTGCAAGGAAAGTAGAGTTGGAGAAGCCTACAAAGTTTTGATTGAAATGCAGGTTAAAGGTTGTGAGCCTAATGCAGCTACATATAGGATGATGGTTGATGGGTTTTGTATGGTTGGGGATTTTGAAGGTGCTTTGAAGGTTTTGAATGTGATGTTGACGAGTAGACATTGTCCGAAGTTGGAAACTTTTTGTCGGTTGGTTACGGGGCTATTAGCTTGTGGGGACATTGATGGTGCTTGCTTTGTTTTGGAGGAGATGGAAAAGAGAAAAATGAGCTTTGATTTGGAGGCTTGGGGAGCTTTGATTAGGGATGCTTGCGTTGGTGTTGATACTTGTGAACTCCTAACTCAACTCATCTTGGTCAATAGTGATTAGTTAACTAGTAAAAAATGCCATATTTCCCCTACTTTTGTTGCTGCATTAGGATTTTCCTTGTCATCACCCGGAATTTTGGATGCTCTGAATTCAGGTTCTAAGAAGTGTAATGTTTGAGTTATAGTACTTTTTAACTGCATAATAATAAGAGAAATCCTTTATAGTTCCTCTTTATTCATGTTTCTTCAATAAGTTACCTTGAAATTAGAATATACTTAGCAAATGCGTATTGCTTCATCAATACTAGCTCTCTATCAATACTGTGTCACTACCATGGTGTATTTACGTGCATTCAAGTTCGGAGGCAATGGATTTGGTAGAAAATATGAGACAAAACGATATAGTATTGTTTTATGCATCCACCTATTTAGATCTATATCTTAGGATAAAGTCTTCACCTTCTAACCAAAACACCATTGGGATGAAAACGCAAGCACCTACTCCATCAGATCTACTCCACAACGCTTTATTATATATATAAATATAAAATACTACCCATCTTAAGTCATCACGTCCCCCCGAAGAAATCTCAAAACACCAATCTGCTAGCAGCATTTGATATTACCCTCCAATTTCATGGCATCATACTCTTAGGCTCTCACAATGACCTGTGCAGCTGCTTCTCGAGTCCTTGATGAGGAGGATAAGTGTCACAGGTCGAGATTCAACCTCCAGGCTCATGTATTCCAGGACCCATGTTGGGAAAAACAACAATACCTACGCGCAGCAACCACACAAAAATAACAAGCTCAAATCAAGAATAAGAACACACAAATATATTTGGTTCGCCCAACTCAAAATGGCCTACTCCAACTTAATCCACTATCAAATAAATCTTTACAATTGTGAGACTTTTAGAATGAGAAAAGTCTCCTAAAACTCCTTACTCAAACTTAACCCAAAACCCAATTACACCCTTTAATAGCCTACTCACTTAGCTATTCTCTTTGGTGTCTAACTCTCTGGGGTTACTAACTAAAACCAAAACATCTTATTTATAAGGGTGAAACCCTTTATACCTTTACCAAACTCCCGATGTGGGATACAAGACAAATTCAAACTTACTTAACTTTCGATGTGGGATTCTGAGATTCAAGGCAAATCCCAACAAATCCTCCCTTGACTTGAATCTCCAAACACTTCAACAGTATCTGCAAAGCTAACATGCTTACCTTTCTTCTTTTCTTTCATCACAGGCATTCCAGCAACTGAGCCTCCATCAAACATGTACAAGTGATTGACCATATTCCCTTGTAAAATCACACTATCATTCTTATACACTTTCAACCAATCATTACTACCATAAAATGTGTATCCCCGAGAAGATAACTCACCTAAAGCAATCAAATTGTAGTGACAATTTGGTACATACCTTACATGACGAAGTGTCCTAATAACACCATTGTGAGATCTAAGGCGAACACTCCCAATGCCTTGAATCTGCACCTTTTCTTTGTTAGCAATCACAATATCCCCATACTTTTCATTCTCATTCAACTCCACAAAGCAGCTCCTATCATTGCAAACATGAACTGTAGCAGCTGAATCTAAAACCCAACCTTTGTCACTTTTTCAAAGTCTGGGTCTCATCCACACAAGTTGTCAAAACTTTCGATGTGGGATTCTGAGATTCAAGGCAAATCCCAACAACCCAGACATATACTCCTCCAAGTCCCAGAGCAGCTTACCTGTTACGGTTCACACTCTCGTGAGATATTATTCGTTCTGACTCTTCTAGAAAAACAACAATACCTACGCGCAGCAACCACACACAAAATAACAAGCTCAAATCAAGAATAAGAAACACACAAATATATTTGGTTCGGCCCAACTCAAAAATGGCCTACTCCAACTTAATCCACTATCAAATAAATCTTTACAATTGTGAGACTTTTAGAATGAGAAAAGTCTCCTAAAACTCCTTACTCAAAACTTAACCCAAAACCCAATTACACCCTTTAATAGCCTACTCACTTAGCTATTCTCTTGGTGTCTAACTCTCTGGGGTTACTAAACTAAAACCAAAACATCTATTTATAAGGGTGAAACCCTTTATACCTTTACCAAACTCCCGATGTGGGATACAAGACAAATTCAAACTTACTTAACTTTCGATGTGGGATTCTGAGATTCAAGGCAAATCCCAACAACCCAGACATATACTCCTCCAAGTCCCAGAGCAGCTTACCTGTTACGGTTCACACTCTTCGTGAGATATTATCGTTCTGAACTAAAGGCCTACTACCACGAACCTAGAACCTCGAACCTGGAACCTGGCTCTGATACCACTTGTTGGGAAAAACAACAATACCTACGCGCAGCAACCACACACAAAATAAAAGCTCAAATCAAGAATAAGAACACACAATAATATTTGGTTCGGCCCAACTCAAAATGGCCTACTCCAACTTAATCACTATCAAATAAATCTTTACAATTGTGAGACTTTTAGAATGAGAAAAGTCTCCTAAAACTCCTTACTCAAAACTTAACCCAAAACCCAATTACACCTTTAATAGCTACTCACTTAGCTATTCTCTTGGTTTACGGTTCACACCCTCATGAGGTATTATCCGTTCTGATTCTTCTAGAATTATGATTTTATTTCACAAAAAACATCTCACGAGGAAGAGAATGTGTGAACTCTTATATCCCAAGACCAACTCTACTATACAGCCGATATGGGATTCATGGCTCTTTCCACCGCTGTTCCTGATGAACCTGATTTAGTGGCACCACCCTTTGCTGGTGAAGCTCCTGTTTTCGCTGCCTCAGCTTCATGGATGACATACTTGGCGGATCAAACCCCTCAACAAGAGCTGTTACTGGGATTGTCTCCAATCCAGCAGTCAGTGGTCAAGTCCCCTTTGCCAAGCCTGTGCAAATCCTCCAGAAAACAGAGGTGTTTCTGTCAACAGCAATAATAATGGCCTTGGCGGCAACGTCCCCTTTCTCACTGCCTTGGCGGTAATGCGGCCAATGCGGGCCAAAACAATGGAAACAACCCAATAAATAATGGCTTTGCGGGGGTTACAATCCTGAATGGAGGTCAACTCCCTGCAGGAAGCACTATTCAAAAGTTCATATTTGGGACAATGAGAGTTATAGACGATGAGGTAACCGAAGGGCATGAGCTTGGTTCAGGTTTGATTGGCAAGGCACAGGGGTTTTATGTGGCTAGTTCTGTTGATGGGAACAGCCAGACCATGGCTTTCACAGCCATGTTTGAGAGCGGTGGCTATGCTGATAGCATCAGCTTCTCTGGTGTGCATAGGACGGCTGTTTCTGAGTCCCACCTCGCAATCATGGGCGGCACTGGCAAATACTTGAATGCTAAGGGCTATGCCATTGTCAAGGCAGTTCCAGCTACCAACCAGCATGAAACTGATGGATTTTAAACTCTGCTGCAGTCTACTGTTTATCTTGCTTCCTAATGTGCTTCCGTTTGAAGGCGACCGGTAGCTAAAATATATGTACAAGTTTTTGAATGCCAAAGGATCTTTGTGATTTAAATAAAGGAATCTTGCTCGAACAAAATTGATCTCGGGAAAAATGTGATTGCATATACAAATTCTCTAGCAAGTAAAAATTTTCTTGGATGACTACCTCCTTACAAATAACATCAGTTTCCTCAGTTTGTAAGGAGGATGCAGCTTCATAATAAAATCTGAGAATATTTGAGATTAAGCTCTATAAATATAAGGCTATGGCCTCGGTGTTGAACTATCATTAATTGGTGCTATTTTTGTTTGAATTTATGTGCTTGAATTCCTAATATAATTATGTGCAGGTGAAAACACCAAATTTCGCATTTTAGTTCTGATAATCAATTGAAAGGTAAATTCTCCAACAGTTGCAGATGAAAACACCAAATTTGCAATCTCTCTTTGCTCTTAAAGAAGCCTTTTTTTATGAATATTTGCAGACTGCTTTTGTTAGCAAGATATAGCATTTATTTCAACCAGAAAACCACAACTTTACTACGATTGCAAGAAAAAAAGGTCACTAGTGAGTTAGGTAGACAGTAAACTGAAGAAGCGTATCGATACCATCAGTGGTGTGCTGATTCGTGTGGTGAAGGGTCTCAATGATGGCATACCCTTGAGCATTTCCATATTTTCCAGTTCCACCAACTATAGCAATAGGAGACTCAAGCGCAGCTGTGCGGTGCACCCCAAAGAAACTAATGGCATCCTCTTCATCATGACCACCATCGTCATGAATCATAGCAGTAAAGGCCATTGTATGGCTGCTACCATCCATTGAACTAGCCAGATAAAATCCCTGTGCTTTACCAATTATGGAAGAGCCTAATTCATGCCCTTCAGTTAATTCATCATCGATCACGGTTATTGTTCCAAATAAGAGTTTTTGTAGGTCAGCTCCTTGTGGGAGCTGACCTGCAGTGACAAATGGAAATGCTTTGCCGTTTGTGATCAAATTGTTATGACCATTGTTGTTAATTACAGTGCTGGCTGTTGCACCATTTAGGCCCGAAAGAAAAGGAAAATTGCTGTTGATGATGCCCCTGTTAGCAGTGATCAGAGGCACACCACGACTCTTTAGGAAGACGCCTCCATTGGGTTTCGAGAAAGGGATTCCATTGACTCTGGTATTGGCAACGATCCCAGCCACAACCCTTATTGATGGAGCTGAGCCACCAAATATGTCATGCATGAAGAATGACAATGTGTGGTGAACACTTGCATTAGTGGCTGCAGCCAGGGGGCTGATGGGGTTCGAAGGTATGACGGCGGGACCTACGTTGGCTACAGGTATTGGAATTGGATTAGTTGCTATGGTTTGAGGAGGTGGCAGTGTGACATCGTCAGTGAGGACCCTTGCACCATGGACATATTTCATGGTGATGGCCAAGAGCAAGAGGTGCAATATGCCCTTCACTTGCAGCACTTTGACCATTTTAGCTTTGTGAAGAAGCAAGTATTGAAGATTTTTCTTATTGGGGTTGAAAGAAAGATGAATATATAGGCTAATATTTAGCTTGTTGAATGAGTTAAACAATGGTGGAGCAGGGAATATCGCATTTGGAGTGGTTCATACATATCTTTGTTTATTTTTTCTGTTGTTCTTGACTTGGGCGAATGGAGTTGTTAAACATGTAGTAAGTTAGTTGGATTGTGCGTTGGGTTTAAAAAGTCTAAGCCTTCAAAAGCTAAGTGGACCTTGACATATCCCCCAAATGGACTCAACTTAAATTTGATAGTGACATTTTGAAATTCAAACCATAGTCCACTTTGGGTTCCAAAGGCTTACTTGAATTGGCCCACTTCATCTCAGTTGGGTGGAAGAGAGAGATGTAGCCATCCTCTAAGGGAAAGGAAAGAAAGGTAAAAACAGAAAGCATGATTTTTTTTTTTTTGAATTTTCTAATTTATCCCTAACCCTCTCTTTATACTTAGCCTGTAAAATTTTTTGGATAAATTATAGCTTCATGTCTGGAAAAGGAGAGAAACCAAACAAAGATATTTTGGATGGTACATTTATGAGTCTTTGGTCCCTCTTTCACAGTGGCCACTCCTTGTCATTTTCTTTATGCTATATTGGGATGCATATTGGAAAATCGGAACTCAAGTTGCTTCTTACCCTTCTACTTTCTTATTATTTACTCAATCATGGAAATTTCAAGAGTACATTGAAAAGTGATGAATAAGCCATTTACCATTGCTACACTTTCAAAGACAAGCAATTACTCTTTTTACTATTTAGCAAAGGTTTAAAATAATGGAAGTTAGGATTTTTGTAATATAAAAATAAAATAAAATAATTAAGCATATTAATAATTTAAAGGTTAATAACATTTTAGCCCCCTAACCTATAATAAATTTCTAATACAATATCTTATTTTAAAAATATTCTATATGATATTTGTAATATAATTTTATTAATCAATGTGATATGTGCCCCTAATATTATTAACTCTCAATCATGATATAAATACTACCAAATCAAAATGTCATGTTATCAAAACTTAAAAAAAAACAATAAAAAAAAAGAATGTCATGTTATCAATAGTATCTGCCCTAGTGCTGATATCTCTTGTGATATTTGATTTGATATTACAATATTTTCTGCTTTATTTATCATCTTTATCTAGTCATTATCAATTACTATTTCTTATTGTTACAATTTAATTTTGCAACTATTTCTTTATAATTACAAAAGCATAGAAATGATCAAATTCCTCTGGTTTGTTACTACAAGTCTTTGACTTTTTTAGCTTAAGACTCGGATATTGTATATATTATGAATGCATGACTCAATCTTGCCCTAAAAAAAAATTCTTACCTTAGGTCCATTTGAATGAACGATACGATTAATTCTAATGAGATTAAAAATAATAATAAAAATTATTATAATTATGATTAAAAAATAAAAATTATTATAATTATAATTAAAAATTTTAAATTAAATTAATTTATTGAAATTAATATTTGAATTCAACTTGAATTTTGCATCTAGTCAAACACAACTTCATGTCCAAAATCCAAATGTTTTATTTTTCTTGGAATGAAAAGAAAAATTCTCCCTTTGGCCAATCATCAAATTTTTCGAGGAAAATCTTATTATATAATCCCTAGATGGTGGACCCATGTTAACATTTTTTTTCTAGTATTTTCTTTATCCAGCCGTCCAAGATTAGTCCAAAAAACTGAAGTTACCAAAACATTTAAGTCCAAATAGAAGAAAAGGATAGTAGAAAAAAAATTAATATTCAAATCATCAATGTGGTGAGAAATTTGGAATTTTTCTTACTTCCACACCTAACAAAATTTTACAATGCCTTTTGTCTCTTGAGTAATGAGTTGGTCAGGGGACCATAGACATTTAAAATGACGAAGGAGAAAATGAAGAAGAAAAAACACCAAGAGAGTTAGCCCCACTCTTTAATTGAAAAAAAAAAATGACTTGGACTTGCAGCCAATGGTGTGCCTTGGGGTCATCATTTGGTTTATTGTGGGGAAGGCAGGTACAATAATTGCCCACAGTAAGAAAAGGATATGCCCCTATGGATTAATTGGGTGCAGGTCTAGATTTGGATTTCAGCCAAAGAATGCCTGGTATTTTTGTTTAGTTTGATGTTCTATAGTTACAACCACATCAATGCCAAGAAGGTTTTTTTTTTTTTTTTTTTTAATAAAAAGTAATAATTTAAAAATAGGAAAATGAATTACAAATATATTTGATATTATTTTTTAAAGGTGATTGTATAAATTAAAATTAAATGACGAATAATACAAGGTCAAACTTGAAGCTATCATATGGTTTTAATTACTGAATAATTACCCAATACAGGGTTTTCCATGAACGCAAGATTAAGACAAATGAACCTTTAGTGGAACACCAAGTTTGACCAAAAACCAGAGAAATTGCTGATAAAATCATAAATGTGGATGTTTAAGTTTCAATGTGTTATTAGGATCCAATATTTTGACCAACCCACTAAAGTAATTGGCTGCATCCAGAAGACAGAAGAAAAAGTGCACAATAATTTTGTCCCAGGCTAAAAAATTTTGTTCTGTCACTGACTGCAGAGAATTCCACTACTTGTCTCCCTAAACTGTTTATCATGCTCTCACTACTGCACTTATCATTAGTCCATCAGATCACGCGAGGGCTTCATGATTGGGGACCAATGATGTTGTTTGATCTGAGTCTTGCATTATACAAGTCTATTAGTCAAATCCTGATGCAAGCTTTAGTTATAGAGATTTTACAAAAAACAACTTTTGCCCATTTTATCACCATTTACCATGGCACCTATTGAACTTGGAGATCAAAATTTGAAAACTTTTCACATGGTAAGTACTAGTGTCGAACTCTAATGATACAGCAGAATAGCCCCCACCGCCAGATGGGGTATCACCTGGGAGAGAAACAAGAAATTAGAGATGCCCGGAGGTGCCAGCCAAAGCCAAGGATTTTAAATTAATTCAGAGAAAGGGAAGAGGAATATTTATGCAATGATTCCATTTGCTTGCTCCAAGAAATGATCGAGATGATCAGAAAGCACAAGAGAACCAAACTTCTTTAGCTTTGCCTCTAAAAAACAAAGGTTATGACTACAATCCCCAAAAAAGCTTAGATTGATTAATTTACATTACATTTCAAATGTTGATTAGTATCTAAGCATGCATCTAGACAGGGAAAACACACAAAGGACTGCTAATATGTCATAGTTCACACTCTCTACTCCATTTAAATAAGAAAGACAGAAAACCCTAGTGTTTTTCATCAGTAATTCATTTTCACCATTGGGGAAGATGGACTTTCTGCTGGTGGAGGTGGTGGTGGTGGTGCTGTAGATGGCCAGAGCTGTGCATTCCTTACCTTGGACACGCTTGCTAGCACGCTTGAGGGAGTTACATCCCCAATTACTGTCACTTTCTTTGTGGCCAATCTATACTGAATGATGTCACTCCTGCACAAAATGTGGAAAAAAACCATGGCTTAGAATATGGTAGTGCATTTTCTTTATGATCAAAGCCACTAAACTAATTAGGGTTTATGCATAAATAACTAATTTTTTGAAAATTTAGTGCTTTTCTATCTGTTGAAACTCACCTTCCATTTTTGAGATATGTTTTCTTACTTTTCCTTCACATCCTTTGCAATTGATTGACACCCACAAAACCACCACCTTCTATTTCAAACACAACAAGAAATAGAATACGTATGTTAAAAATGTTCGGTAGTGATTTAGCATCCTGAAGTTTTTAGTCCCTTTTTTTTTCCCTTTTTGGAACCAAAGCAGGCAACGAAAACAAAGAAAGATTAAAGACCAACCTGGTTACGAGACCGAGTAGATGAAGAAGGCTTTAAAGCAGGAGAATCTTTGAAGCTTACATGCTTAGGCTTTGCAGGCTGAGCGGGAACCAATGCTGAGACACGATCAGACTCTGATAACCAATCAATAAAGGGTCTATCACTCAGAAGATATCTAGAGGAACCAGGAGGACTATTAAGATCATGAATATCAGCGGAGCTTTTTCGACGCACATCCCTCGGCTTAACAGAGCTCTTCCTACTCTTTTCATAGTAAGGCCTAGGAATTATAGGTAATTGTGCTGAACAAGGTGCATAAGGCTTAGAGTTTTGGCGATCAATAGGCCTAGTATGGCCATGGCGGACCATGGAACGATGGTCCACGCTAGAGCAGATGGCTGTGGAAGCTGGAGAAGCACAGAAAAGATCCATTCCTTTCATTTTTGGAAATGCTATAGTTTTGAAAAAGAAAAACTGAAATAGAGTTGGGGAAATAAGTATCTTCGCAATAAGGCCAACTAATATGATTTTAAAGTAGGTGCGGATGGAGAGAGAGAGAGAGAGAGAGAGAGAGAGAAAGAGCGGATAAAAAAAAAGAAGCAGCTAGGTCCCACTTGAAGTGTTGATCAATCATACCCTGGAAAATATGGACCTTCAAAGTTGTGATTAACTTTAGATTTAGATTATTTTAGTTTCAAAATGTTTTCTCTAAGGTGGGGTTCAACTTTGTATGATATGAGCACTACCACTAGTAGTATCATATGGTGGCTTATAGATTTTGAAACTCAGCTAACTGCTCTTATTATTAACACATAATTGGAGTAACTGAGAGCACGCATCCATCTGTGAAATCTTTAGGTATTCGTGAAGTAGAAAACAGATATGGCTTTCCTGCTTATGGGAAAATCATAATCATAAGCTTGTTATTTTCATCTTGTATATGAAATCTTGTAACCACACAAAGCGGAACTCCTTCCTTCTGCCTAAGAACAATCTTTCCAAGCTCGATTTGGTTTGCCCTTCCTTAACACAGGGACCCTGAATGAAAAACAAGCAACTTTGTTTTTGTACAACGCTTGTATGATACATACCTGAATACTGAATAATAAAGATGGAATAGGCACCGATAAAGCAGCTGCTGCTTCATGGTATATGAATAATCCAAGTTTAATTCCATAATCTAATCCATGTTTTATTCTATGCGGTATACACAGATTTAACTGGCTACCTTATACATGATAGTTAACAAAAGGACCCACTTCATTTGTTCTCTCATTTTCATTGTCATATTCTTGTGACCTGTAACTCTGTGACAGCATATGAACAAATCAGTTAAAGTATTCATCAAAACTCTTCCAGGAACTTTCATTGAACTTTTGTTCATGAATTCAAATATATATATAGCTATTCTAGGTGATCACGGTTCAAGAACATGTTCTTTCTTGTGGAACAATCAAATCTAGCTAGTGCCTAAATTCAGGGATTACAATTAAGACAAGACAAAGCAAGGGTCAAAAAACCGATAGTTTATGAAGATTTTCATGCATTAGGACAAGTTTTCGTGCATAAAAACCAGATTGGGAGCACATGCAGTTCTCATGTAACCTGTAACAAATGCAACTGAATGTTCATTTTCTTACACATAAGAGTCCAAATTGTTGACATGAGATCAGTCTAAGCAGTGTTGAAACCCTGACCTCTTATGAACTGTTATGAACTTCTCGCAATTACAATCAATCAGTGTCAAACCCAGAGTGTTAAAATTAGATTGTTGTAATGATTATGCCTCGGAAATGGCTGAGGTGTTTTCCATCAGAAGGCTGCAGACTCGTGGGTCGACCGGCCCCTTTTTGTCAGACATTGAGTGGACTTAAAGATGTTGAAATCCCAAATACCATCATCGATTGCAAACTGATTAGCATTAGTGTCGACCACTTTTATCAACTTGACCAACCTCCCACTCTGCAGCCACTGCATTTCAGGAAGCATGAATTAACTAACTAAATATATCCTTTAACTGGCCTCCGTTTTTTATGGAAAAAGGTGCTTTTTTTCACGCGAAAGATCGACCCCACAAATTTCAGCTTCTGGATTATCAAAAGTTTTGCTGCTGATTGGTCAGTACATTTTCGTGGGACTCATCTGGACCACATTATAAACAAATGATGGTACTCTCATTATATTTTACTATTTTATTGATCTAAAGGAAATGTTGAGCCCAAAAATGAAAAATTCCTCACAAACATCAATTACATAATTTGCATTATTACCGTATCATTTTTGGGGTTTTAAAAAATTTTCTTTTACAAGTAGATGAAACTTAAAAGCCCTCTAGTTATGCTTCCAATAAACATGGAATCTGGTTTAGCTGAAAGAGTAATGAACCCAAAACTTTCCATATAATACTCTAAATGGAAATTGCACTAAAAAATACATGAACAAAAAATTATTTCATTCATTGTCAGTGGAGTTAGAGTATATTTTTAAGATATATTAAAAAAATTAAAAATAATTAAAAATAAAATAAAATATGTATTAATCTCTTAATTTCTTTTGTAGAATTAAAAATTTGTATTGATGATGTATAAAAAAAAACCATACATGTACATCCATTTTATACTAACTTATAAGTTAAATCCTCCGTCCCCTTGATTTCTTTGGAAGTCAGCAATCTACTTTAAACCATTATCCATGGCAATTATGTGGGTCTCCCTAATTCAAACCATATATTCTGTAATCACGAGTTTAAAGAAGTGGGGCGTTAATCAGTGGACAGATTAAGGGTAGTTAAGTTTTCTACTTTTCCTCAGCTCTTTTTTTTTTTTGGTTGCTTTACTCAATATTTCTTAAGTTTCTTCCTTTCTTTTTTCATGCCATACATATATTTAGGAAAGAAAAGCAGAGAGGTGGCTACATGTTTGATGTTTCCAAGCAGTTGCCTCGAACTCACAGTCCTGCAAAAGAATTCAGTTATATTTATATATATTCCTTTTCATTGCAAAGCAATTATTTTGTTTATGATTAAACTTTCCCTCTCAGACAGTTCTTGTAATCACTACCGAAAAGAATCTCCAATCCCTCATTCATTTACTCGTTTTAAAGTAGATCAACTCTTTGTAATATAAAGTATTTGCACCATTAAACAAACTAGTAGTTGGCAGGAAATTGAATCAAACAAATGGACTTATTGTTCTTGCTCATTAAGTTAAATCCTTTTCTACAATGTTAGAATATCTAGTATAGCTAGGTCATGAACCAACATGTCAACAATGTTTCAAAATTGGAATCAGTTGCATCAGTCCCCATCATGGTTGGAAAAGCTTGTTAAACATATCATCATGAAGGCCCATATAAAAATCTTGAAGTTACTTATGGCCAAGTCCTTTTTCTTTTGAATGGTAAAATTTTGAACTTTTGATATCAGAAGCAGAATTGAAAAGGTTGAGTTGCATATCAGGTTGATCCCTTTTGCTTTCCTAAAGGTCAGGGTAGGTAACACAGGTGTCCCTACGTTACTATCTCAAGCTAAAACCTGCGCAATCCATGGCAACGACAAAAGCACGAAGCTGAAGAAGGATCACCAAGATCCTGTCATCGTAGTCTTTGGAGGTCCAAAACCATTTAGCTAGAGTGAGGACTGAATAACTTCCATGGGCCCACATTTTTCAAAGCCCAAAGTCCCTCAAGACCTTGGCCCAAGACAAGTGCACTTCACGCGTGACCAAACTAGGGTTTTTGGGGAAACTGATATTAAAACCGCAAAGCCCTTCACCTTTGCATCACCACAGAGAGGAGCAGGCAGCCATGGGTAATTACAATAACCAACGAAAACCCATTTTTTTATTTACTCTTAAATTCATTTGTATCAATATGTTAACGTGAACTTTGTTATTCTTTCTTTGATTTTTTTGTGCTTGTTTATAGCAAGGATCAAGGTACACGAGTTAAGGAACAAATCAAAGACAGAGCTGTTGAGCCAGCTCAAGGATTTAAAAGCTGAACTTTCTCTCCTTCGTGTGGCCAAAGTGACTGGTGGTGCCCCCAACAAGCTCTCCAAGATGTAACTCAATTTCCCCTTTATTTCTTCTTTTCCTTATTGATTTCATTTTTCTTCTCGTTTTACAGTATGGTTTTTGCTTTTTTTGGTGTTGGGTTTTTAGTAAGGTGGTGAGGCTATCGATTGCCCAAGTGTTGACAGTGATATCCCAGAAACAGAAGGCTGCATTGAGGGAAGCCTATAAGAGGAAGAAGTTTTTGCCTCTTGATCTCCGTCCCAAGAAGACCAGAGCTATTCGTCGCCGCCTTACCAAGCACCAGGTTAGCTGTGGATCATGTTCATTATGTTTCACTTTTGTTGTAGATAATAATTTATTGGCATTTTGTGATTTAACTATGTTTACTGTATGGAATTAAAAGTTACTAATTTGTGTTAGAGCATTCTTGATGCTTTTATCTTTGTGAGTTGTATTAGTCTAGAATCTAGATGTCTTAATATGTTCAATTTGAATTCTTTTTTTAATCTTTTATAAACGAAGGCGTATGTGTAAAAGTGAAATAATATTGATTCACACTACGATGATGATCGAAATAAAAGCATTCATTTTCTCAGATGCTGCTTTAACTCATGCTTTCATTTCCATGGAGAAAAGTTGAACTTACCTGTGATAAATTTTTCTGTAAGACATGCCTTTAATAAAGAGTTCCTATTATAGTTATGTTTTTGTTTAGGACATGTGCAACAATGCACAACTGTAAAGATGCTTTATTAGATATTTTCCTCTGTTTCCATTGGGAAATTGCCAGATTGGGGTTTGTCTCTGATATTTGCTCATATTCTGATCTTTGATTGGAATAAATTCTATTTTCGCTAGTGGTCCATTCTCTACTAAACAGTTATCCCCTTTTCCAAGCTGATGAAACTCCAAGCGAGTCTAATGGCTTCTTTTTGTGTCCCACCTTATTGATGTCTTTTAAGTGGTTGGATTCAAGCATGATTTGTTTTAGGATTATGACCGTATGAGGTCCTTAAGTTCTGGCTTGCCTAATGGTCTTGATAATAAAAGGATGAAGCGGACAATGAAATAAATTAAGTGGAAGAACCACATGGATGATACATTACGCAAATAATAGCTTATTGATGAATTGGAAAACTGTTTTTATGAATCTTGTCCCCAATTTCAAGTTTAATCTTATCAACTTTGGGTTGTATTTCATTTAGAACTTGTTTATTTTTTCCAAGTATCTTTAAAATTTTGTATATTGCTCTTTTGCATTTTCTCCTGGACTATATTTTCAGTCTTCCTTGGTGCATGTTATTTGGGCACAAAACTCCATGATGATTCAATCTGTTGCTTTTGAATTGACCTCTTGCATTTTGTTTTACGCAGCAATCATTGAAAACAGAGCGGGAGAAGAAGAGGGAGATGTACTTCCCAATGAGGAAGTATGCCATTAAGGTGTAAGCTTGACATTAATTTTGGAGGCATAACTTTGTGTTAGATTCAAAGTGCATACTCAAGGATATTGTTTGAATTTTGTTGTTGAATTTCACTTTCCTTATGATCTTTCCTTTTTCGAGTTTTCTTTCTCTCTTCTATGAATTAATCGAACTAGAAGTGTTGATTGAGCCTTTCTTTTATAAAATTGTATGCTTCATTGCATTTATCATATTCTTAAACTCTGAACTGATTCCAGTGTAGTGAATCCTAAGATCTGCATCCTAACTCCGATCGTGTAGTCGCATTCCAGTCAACTAGAAATAGAAACAGAAAGATCTCAAAAGACAAAAGTGTGGTTAATTTCTTCATGGAAGTGTCATTTCCATTTTGTACAAATGAGAATCTCCTTGGATATATGATTTCTTCTTCTTCATATGGATAGATCTACGAAACATTTGCTTAGATGTAAGTTGTATCCAGCTGTCCATCCCTAATGCAAATTTACTGTCTTGAAAGATTATGGTAGGTGAAGAAGGTGATTGGAGTAAGGCGCAAAGAGAAAAGATGGCAAGCCCTTTTGCCTTCTTTGTTCTTCTCATCGTAAATCTCATGTAAATTGGGGTTTGTCTAATGGGTTGCAAACGAACAAGATTACGGGATTGAAGTGGAGCAAGATTCTATTATGAACAATAAAATTATACACTCAATATAAATATATATATATATATATTCTCGAATAACCAGCAATCGATATATTCGTAAATGAAATAAGGTTACGGGGTTGTTTGTAGGAAAGGTTAAAATACCCGAAACCAACGGGTTTTGACTCGATTCAACCCCTTAAGATTGGTTTTTTTTTTTTTCTTGAAAATCAGGTATTGTATCGAGTTGCATAAAAAAATTTCGGGTAAGGGTAAGGATTGGGTTTTAAGCAAATACGATTCGATATATATAAAAAAATTATTTTTTAATTAATTATTTAATTTTATATTTTTTATATATATTTAATTTTATATTTATATTTAAAATAATATTTTATTAATTTTGGGTCGAATCAAATCGGATTCGAATATTTAAAATAAAAAAATTTTGTCAGATCAAATACAGATACAAATTTTATATATTTAAAATCGGATTGAATTCGAAACGAGCAAAAATTCGTTTTGACTCGATGCATTGCCATCACTAATGAGAAGTGTCAAGGGTATTTTAGCGTTTGAAGGGCAGGATGGACTCTTTTCTCTAAAGTATAAATCAGCTGATAAGCGAGAGTATTTTGATCATTTTGACCAAACAAATGTATTGGGCTGACCTGAAATATCGAGCTTCATGCTAGTTCGGTCACTTCAATGGCTTATCTGTTTGGTACATAAAAATATTGATTTATCATATTTTAAATGGATTATTAACTGTTAGCTCAACTTGGGTTTATGGATCAATCTTAATTTGTGACATTGATCTTGAGTCGCCTGAGTCTAAGGTCCTCATCAATCAAGTATAAGTAGCTCCTCTCAAGTATTTTTTAACTCAACTGAAACTTATAGTTTAAAAGCTTACGTTTTACTTTTATTTTCTTTTCACTTCTTGATCGAGTTTTAACTTGAACGATTGACAAAAAGTAGTTTTGAAGTCGAAAGAGGAAAACGTCATCGATAAGCAATGATGTATGTGAACAAAATCAAAGCAGCAAAGAGCCAAATTCGAATTTGGGTGACAAGCTGATGGCTCTAGGAGAGTGTTGGGGCCCTGATAGTTTCCAAATTTGAAGATGGGTTATTAGCACGGTTCTAATAATTATTCCAAGCAATGAAATTTAATTATTAAATACATACCATATTTCAAAATTATATAGGCCAATGTTGAGGACTATATTTAATAAGATGTCATTATTCTTAATTATATAACTAGATTTGACCTGGCAATTCTTTCATTGTATCCTGTTAGTTGGAGAAAATAGGAAAAAATTAATTTAACAAAGAAACTTTTTGGAGTGATTATTTGGACTTACTCTGAAAACAATTGTTGTGTATTATTTCTACTTATTGGTGGACTCTGCTGACTCCATTATATTATTGGTGGTCCCAACCTTTGACCTGATCAAGAAGGGTAAAATAATGTCATAGTTTCATTTTCCAAGCCTGAAGTGTGTAGGTGGTCTATTGGATAATATCTCATGAGGATATTTGCATCAAATTTATGAAATATTATTTATTTTTATCAAAAATTTCATAATTTTATTTCATAAAAAATATTTTTTATACGATAAAATCATAAAATTTTTGAATTAAAATAAATAATATTTTATAAATTGAGTGTAAATTTCATATTTTAAATTTAAGTGAGCGTAATTTATATTGTATTTGAAACATGTGTATTTGAAATTGTGATCAGTTTTTAAGCTAGGCATCAATTGAGTTTCAGCATAAAGCATGCATCCATCATGCATCATGTTGTTTGTTTGATGATAAGCATTTGCATGGCCGATGCAAAAAGAAGCAAAGAAAAAGATGAGAAAGAGGGAGTGAGCATCGCCATGACCCCTATACGCCTGCATTGGCAATGGCATGTTTGGTGATGTTAACAAAACTACAATTCTTATGAAAAGGACGACCAGCTCAACCATGGCTTCTAATTTCCCCATTCGATTTTCCTTTTCCTTTCTAGTTATCTTCTCTGACGTGCATGGGCTTCGAAGAAGCAACATAGAATTGAAGAATTTGGAAAATTCCCAACCAATTAGCTGTAATTTATTCTCGTAACATCAATATTTTTAATATATAAACTTGCATCTTCTCTGGAATAACATAAATTTCATGAGCTGGAAGACCATTGGCATATGGTAATACTTTTCTCATCCAATTCTTGAAAACCAATGCAGATATTCTACTTCGAATGTTGATTGTTCAACCTCCAATGTCAACATTTCCATGTTTATTGTGTAAGTTTTTTCGTTTATGTTTGCACAAATGGCTGCAAAACCTGAGACTAAAACCATTATAAAAGCCGTCACCATCCACTAATTTGTCGTTAAAACGAAGGATCACTACAAAAGTAGAGTGCATGCATGCAAATCTTTGAATTTTAATTTTTTTCTTGGCCGGCAACCTAATAACAAGTTAGAAAGGAATAAATAAAGATTAGATCTAAATAATAGAAAGATGATTACAAAGCGAGTTTAATTAGGTACGTAATTAAATTAAATGGACTCTTGAACAGGTCTAAGACTATTCTTATATGCATCAAGAACAGCAATATTGGGTGACAGCTTTCTCTAAATCTGCTACCTCGATGGAAATAAAGTGACGTGTGATACATGAAATCCTAAAGTTATTATGTTAGAATAGGATGGAATCAGAAATGCATATTTTGATGTTTGTAAAGAACATTTAGCTTATCGCATTATAGCTTGCGAAACTTTGGATGGAATCGATAAAACCAAGAGATTGGTGTGGCCTAAAATTAAAATTGACCATTAAAAGAATTAAAAGTTTATATTTGATATAACGTTAGAGTATAGGTTTACTATATTATTAATAAATTTGATAATAAATTTAATTAATGAGTAAATATTGATTTTTAAAATAAATATATATAAATTAAAATTTTAAAAAAATTTATTTATTAATAAAATATTATTATTTGATTTACTTTATTAATAAATTATTATCATTTGATTTATTAATAAATTTATTGATAATTTATAAAATTTATTAATTAATAATGTATTAAATATAAATTTAAAAATTAATTATCTCTTTATTAATAATAACAAAACATCTACGTTCTCATTCACCGTCAAAAAAGCAAAATCCATTTTCTAGATCTTTACAATTTACAATCCCAGAAAAAATAAATGTATTAAATAAAATGACATCAATTTTCGTTGCGACTTCAGGAAAGAAAAAGCAAGGACCCTGAGTCCTGAGACTATGACTGATTCTACGACTCTCATTAGTAATTTGACAAAAGAACTGGTCAGTATCAGCCACTCTCACGCAAAACTCCATACAAAAGCAAGCAATCCAAAAACGAACACTACACTTTGATTTTCCACCGCGTGGTCGAAACCGCCCTTTGACTTGTATCCATGCGCTTTCCTAGCGATCCTTCCCCCATTCTGTCTCTCTGGTCTCTCTATATATACCCCGATACCCATCACTACACAGCACAAACATAGCCCATTCGATTCCAATATCTCTTCTTGATATCATTCCCTTTGTTTAATTATCAAACTCCAGCAATTCTCGGGTTTGGAACTGGTTGTATAATGAGGACCAACTTCTACAAACCCCCGTCAACCGGAATGACTCCTCCTGCTTCCCCAGTTCATCATACCTGGACCAACTCCTACAAGCCCCCGTCTCCTACAGGGATGACTCCTCCTGCTTCGCCACTTCATCCTACCTTTTCCGAGTCATTAATGGAAGAAAATATTGAAGTTGCCGAATTTATCATCACTAAATGGAACTCCCATTCCAACAAGGACTCCTCCTACCGTAACATTGCTTCTCTTTTCAACAACAACAATAGGGAAGAAGCAAAGCAATATTTGAGTTCCGTTAAGGGCTTGCAAAAGGCTATGAAGTACTTGGTTTTACACCAATCGAGTTCAGAAAAACTTGTACGAGCTCAAACACTGATGCAAACCGCCATGAAACGGCTCGAAAAGGAGTTTTACCAGATTTTGAAGTCCAACCGGGATTACCTTGATCCGGAATCCGTTTCTACTCACTCATCTACCCGACCATCAGGTTCGAGGTCTAGCTTTTCCGACTTCGAAGAAGACGAGTGTGAAAATGAGTCAAGGGATGAGGATGACTCAATACCAGAAGTCGAAAGAGTCTCGTTAGCGGCAATGGCGGATTTAAGAGCTATTGCGGAAGCCATGATTTCAGCTGGGTATGCCAAAGAATGCATAAAAATTTACAAAATTATTCGGAAATCGATCATCGATGAAGCTCTTTACCATCTTGGAGTTGAAAGGCTGACTTTTCAGCAGATTCAGAAGATGGATTGGGAAGTTTTGGAGGTTAAAATTAAGAATTGGTTAAATGCTATTAAAATGGCGGTTAAAACGTTGTTTTTTGGTGAGAGAATCCTCTGTGACCAAGTGTTTTCCGTTTCGGCTGCCATCAGGGAATCTTGTTTCGCTGAAATTTCGAAAGAAGGAGCTTTGGCTCTGTTTGGGTTCCCAGAAAATGTAGCGAAGTGCAAGAAAACACCCGAGAAAATGTTCCGTATCTTGGATTTATATGAAGCGGTTTCTGATCTTTGGCCCGAGATTGAATCAATCTTCAGCTTCGAATCAACCTCGATCGTCCGATCAGTCGCTGTTAACTCCTTAATCAAGCTTTCTGACGATGTTAGAACGATGTTAACAGACTTCGCAACAGCGATTCAAAAGGATTCATCCAAATCGACGGTTCCTGGCGGTGGGGTCCACCCGCTCACACGTTATGTCATGAATTATATTGCTTTCCTCGCCGACTACAGCGGGATTCTCTCCGACATCGTCGAAGGTTGGCCGTTAACGATTCCATCACCTTTACCACAGTCTTATTACGGCAGCCTCGACAACGAGGAGAGCATGTCATCGCCGATTTCAGTTCGGTTAGCATGGCTTATACTCGTCATGCTATGTAAACTCGATGGGAAAGCCACGATGTACAAAGACGTGGCGCTTTCTTATTTGTTCTTAGCAAATAATCTCCAATACGTCGTCGGAAAAGTTCGTCAATCGAATCTGAAGTTCCTTCTCGGTGACAATTGGGTGATGAAGCACGAACTGCAAGTGAGACAGTACGCTTCAAATTACGAGAGGATGGGATGGAGCAAAGTGCTTGCGTCACTGCCGGAAAATCCAACGGCTGAGATTCCAGTTAACCGAGTGAAAGATCATTTCAGAAAATTTAATTCGGCTTTCGAAGAAGCTTACACGAAACAAACTTCTTGGGTCGTACCCGACCCGAAACTCCGAGATGATATCAAAACCTCGTTGGTGAGACGGATCATTCCTATCTACAAGGAGTTTTACGAGACATACGGCGGAATGCAGCTGAGGAAGGAAATGTGGGTTGAGTCACTTGTCAGGTATACCCCTGACGATTTGGGAAATTACTGGTCCGATTTGTTTTATGGAAGCGGAAGTTCAGTGATCGTGTCGTCGAGTCCGAGCCGAGGTGGGCGGAGTCGTTGAACCCATCTTTTTTCGGGCGTGGAAAGAATCGCCGGTGTGCTCGTGTCGTTTGTGGATAATATAGACAAAGATCCGTGTAGTGAATCCGACTGACACGTGTATAAAGAAAAAGATTAATCTAAATTTATTATTACTTCTTCATATGCGGCATATAATCGCTCATGTAATACAAAATTCTTTGATTTATTATGTCGTATAACACAAAATTCTTTCGCTTTTTCTTCTTAAGTTATAATTTATAAGTATTTAAAATATGATATAATGATATAATAAAAATAAAATATAAAAATAATATGATTTAAAATTTTAATAAGGATTATATAAGATTTGATAAAATAAAAAATTATAATTTATATTTTTATATTTATATAAATTATGATATATAAATTTTTTATAAAATATTATATATATATTTTTAATATTTTATATAATATAAATAGATGAATAATTGAAATTTAATTTTTTATTCAAGAAAGATAAAAGGTTCCAAAACAAAGCCATGGGCCATAGCCCTAACTGCTTCACTTAACTGAACAATGATCATCGATATTACCCACTGGATTACTGGGCCATGGCTTATGGGCTGTGGCCCTTCCTTCTGTCTTACAAGAGTTAGATATTGATGTAGATCCATCAAACCACACACACATTCGAGAAAAATATATAAAAAAAAATAATAATTTTTTGTATAAATTCAAATCTTATTCTTTAAGTATGAGACATATGAACATTTCTTAAGAATTTCTTAACATGTAGTTTTTTTTATTTATTAAATAATACGTTATTTATAATAATATATTATTATTAAATATGATAGTTGACCGTTTATAATATGTTGATTTTTAATGTACTGAAATCAAATATTATTTAATATGATAATTTTAAAAAATGTCTTTAGCATATGTGTTTGCAATTTTTTTTATTAAATAGCAAATTTAATAGTAATAAAAAAATTTTCAAATAATGCGTAGTTCAAATTATTTGAGTTATTAATAGATATAGGTTTAATTAATTACCTTTATTCACTATATACTCAAAGTCTCAAATATGTACTTTTTTTTCTTAGTTACATAGAATTTCAACAGAAAGTTTAAACCTTTTTCTCTTTCTTTCTTTATTTTTTTTTATGATAAATGATAAATTATATATTTTAACACGTAATATGATTTTATCATAATTTGTAATCATGGTATGTTTGGCAAAAAAAATTAATTAATTCGAACTATATTTTCAATATAGTTTGAATTTTAAATTCTTGACCCTTTAAATAACGAGAAAGATTTCAGAAAAATACAAGTTGGGAAAAATATGTATCACAACAAATCGTTTGCTTGACAAATTAGCAAAAAAAAAAAACAAAAAGGAAAAACATTTAAAGCTGAGCACACCAAGGAATGGTCAATATTAATTTAAAAGCCGTGTGGTTTCCTACTTGGAGTCACGGACATTTTGCCATGAAATTCAACCAAAAGTAACCTAAAAGGGAGAGACAGACCAGACATGAATATATTGTTGCGTACATTTGAAAGCTTTTGCAAGTCACACGACATGTTTCATGTTTGGTTATTTTTGTAATAAAGATATTAATGAATATATTTTACTATATGCGACTTTTTTTAAAAATCTAAAAATAAAAAAATTATTTCATTCTCAAAATCAAAACAAACTATCAATTTATAAGAATAATTATGAATTTTTTTTAATTTTTGAAATTTATAAATTATTTACTAATAAAAAATCTTTTATTCGAATCTAAACACTTCACGCCGAAACCTTACACGTTAACCACTTGCAACAGCCTCTATTAACACATGTGAAACTTGTTGTAGTTTTGACCTCCGTAGCGTCCTTTTCAAACAGGTGAGAGGATCGTTGTCAGTTGTCAGTTGTCACAGCCGATAGAATGCCCTGTCCGGGCATTTCAATTTTCAACCTGTAATTTGTGTTTTTTGTTTCCCATCCAATTAAAATTTAGATTTATGCTTAAGTTGGTTACATTACATCCATTATCCCTAATTTCCTATATTTAAAAATTCAACAAATTAATTAAAATTTTGAGATGAAACCGAGAGTTAACTCTGTGCATAAATCCAATTGGATTAAGTTCAATTAACTTTTTAAAAGTTCGTTCAAAATGTTTTAATTTTTAACAAAATATATTGAAATATTAAAAAATTAATAAAAATTAAATTAAAAATATTTTTATTAATAATTTAATATTTCAAATTGGCTCAAGCTCAAACTACAAAATCTTTGTCTAAAACCCGGTTTAAGTCAGACAAGCCTGCGAACTGGGCGAGGGAATAACCGGCCGGTAAATATGTCTACTGAGAATAAACAAACTGTTATTTTCAGCTTATAAATCTTCTCTTCCTGTCCAATAATTCAAAAAAATTTCTTAGATTATGAATTTGTTTAGAAAATAAGATTATAATAAGATAAAATAAAATAAGATTATGAATAAGATTAAATTAAATATTATTATCTTATTTTGTATTTGATTAGAATAAAATAATTTATTTATTAATTAAAATTTATATAATTTAAATTATTGATATAATTTTTAAGATATAATAAACATGTAAATTTAATTTAATGAATTAAAAATAATTTTTTTCACTTTAAAAGAATTAACCATTTAATTAAAATTTTTATAATCTTATCTATTTTTTTAAATAAAAATTAAATATAATATAAAATAATTATTCCTAACCTATAATCTACCACCTTGAATGGTTGTTTTTTTCCCTAATTTAACCCAGTGGGAACGCCAGGCCTCATCCAACCAAAGAAAGGTTGTCGTCCATTCCATTCCCTTTAGCCGTTCTATTCAGATTTTAGACCAATCAACTGAAAATACAATTATCCCTTGCATTTGCATGTCCTTATCTCCTTCAGGAGCCATCTCTTCTTTTCAATCTTTTTCCTTATAATCCAAAATGTTGTAAATTGTAATACGAACAACAAGCAGAAGTGTAGAAGCATCATTTCATAAGCTTGAACCCCAAATATTGTTTGAAACGTACTTCAAACTTTATCAAACAGATAATTTTTCTCCCTTTACGGCTTTACCCCACCAGTCCTTTCATTCTCGTCAACTCATTCCGCCTTGAAGCTACAAAGAAAAAGTCAATGGGACACACTGAAAGGTGGTTCCAGAAGCATTTGCCCAACATGCATGTGGAGGATTTATTAGTCACATTGAGTGATTAGATAAGGATCTGACAGGGAAAATTCGTCTGAAACCTTTATTAGTGAGTTGTCATGCTTGCTGTTTAAGGGATAATAATCGAGCCATGGTCCCCGAAAGACAAGTTTTATCAATCCATGTTAATTTTGTCAGTTGTGACAATGTCAGTCTTAATGCTTGATTTATCTTAATATATATACACAATACAGTCCCTATAGCTTGACTTGTATGCAGAACAAATCTAAAGATAAGTAGGGTTAATTTCTTGATAATAATAATTATTATATGGTTGTTTAGTTGCTTACATAGCCTACATGAATGAAAGTAATGCAAACTCTTCAAGACTTTCACCAAGAAACTACTTCATGTATAATTGAATTCCATATATCCCCTATGGGAGAACGACTCAAGTCAATGCTAGAAATTAATGTCCCAGTTTTATTATTAAAGAAAGATTCAACTATTGTATTAATCAAGTCACATGTCAAATATGTATTTAGAAGACTTTTGTAGAGTTATGGAATCAAATTTGATGATATAAGACCCAACTGGTAACCCTTTTCGTTCATATTCGAACGTCGTTTTGACTATGAACTCCTTTGTCGTTTCATTGACACTTCCATATGAAGCCTTAATCCCCGTTTCATAGGCTAATTAGCTTCATTCTTCTATAACTTTGCAGTGGTTCGTCTTTTTCCTTTCCCTATATCTATATCTCTAGCTACCACCCTCTTCCTTCTTAAATGTGGATAACCTTATTGCGTAAACTGCTACCTGTGAACTATAATGACTTTCCGTTTTGGAGTAAAATAGAGTTGAATTGAATTTTGAACTTGGGTATGGAGTTTTAAGTCGTTAAACAACTTTAACAAGGATTGAAATTTGCCCCCCCTTGGCTCTTTGTATTTTCTCTTTGCTCTCTCTCACATGCCAAGCTTGCTAAAGGCGCGACCATTGATCAACTCGTAATAAAGATTGAAACGAAATTACACACAAATCAGTTGGTGGGGGTTGATTGAAGGCAACGGGTATTAAGCATTTTCACATGTTCAACTCATTGGACTTTCTCATTATAAGGGCTTGCATTTGATCTACCCATCTAAAAAAGTATAGCTTCTACTTCAAAGCACAAAACTTCCCTGTCCCTCCGTGTTTCTCTATCTCTTTCTTTGCCTTTTATCGTACAAATTGTTTTTCCGGTCTCCCTTGAATTTTCTCCCATGGAGCTGCTCTCTTTCTTGCTGTTTTTTCCAATCCTACTTCTCTTCTTCACAATTTGGAAGTGGGTTAATGAGAAGAGAGACCAAGAATGTTACATTTTAGACTACCAATGTTACAAGCCAACTGATGATAGAATGGTTGGGACTGAGTTCTGTGGGGAGGTGATAAAGAGGAACAAGAATCTAGGACTCAACGAGTACAAGTTCCTCTTGAAAGCCATTGTCAGCTCCGGTATTGGGGAACAAACCTACGCCCCAAGAATCATGTACTCTGGCAGAGAAGAGAGCCCGACATTGGCAGATGGTATCTTGGAAATGGAAGAATTTTTTTATGACAGCATCGGAAAGCTCTTGTCCAGGGCAAGCATTTCCCCTCAGGAAATTGATCTCCTAGTCGTTAACGTCTCCATGCTATCCACACTTCCCTCTTTGTCTTCTAGAATCATAAATCACTACAAAATGAGACAAGACATCAAGAGTTTTAACTTGACTGGAATGGGATGCAGTGCAAGTTTGATTTCTCTTGATATTGTTCGCAATGTCTTCAAGTCCTACAAGAACAAGTACGCTTTGCTAGTAGCTTCAGAGTCTTTAAGTCCAAACTGGTATTCTGGCAATGACAGATCCATGATTCTTTCGAATTGCTTGTTCCGTTCGGGTGGCTGTGCAATTCTTTTGACAAACAACAAGTCCTTAAAGCATCGTGCAATGTTCAAATTGAAATGCCTGGAGAGGACACATCATGGAGCCAGAGATGAGTCATACGGTTGTTGTATTCAAAGGGAAGATGAGAAAGGAA